GCCCCACAGACCTCTGTCCACACTCAGGATACCCTAGGACCCTCTCTCCCTTCTGCAGCTAAGGCCTATGCAGCTGAGAGTGTCTCAGTTGAGTCAAGAATGGATGGCTGCACCCATGTGTAAGTAGGCCTATTCCCAGCTCTTCCGAATGGCCTCGCTGGCCACACAGCATTCTGCTTGGCTGGGGGGACACTCCCAGGATAGGGCTCCTATAGTCTCCCCTGCACAGCGGATGCTGCACCCTGGCTCAGGGGTCAGGGCTGGGCTGGCTTAGAACGTGGAGTCTCTAAAGTGACCGCATCGGCCCAGCTGACGAGAAAATCAATGGTTCTTACTAACCACACGTTCCCGCCAAACCCTCTGGTTGGCGAACAAAGAAAACTTGCGTCTTCAAAACCACGAACACAAAGACCCCACCAGCATCAGCACCATCAGGAAAGCGGGCAACACCAGGCCGGGCCTGACCTCTCTGGAAACCAGAAAGCTGCTTACTCGCATCTATGCCCTCTCTGGGAAGCGGAGCAAGCACATGTCTGCACAGGAATACACACACGTGCACACGCATGAACAAACTCATGTGCCTCTGGTCCCCCTCCCAGCGGTGAGCTCAGGCTGGGCAGCCCAACCCTCACACCGTCATCCCGTTCCCGGGACCCTCAGAACTGGGGGCTCCCCTTACAGCTCACGTCTACAGCTGCCCCACCCCCTCCCAGCCCATTTCCACCTGAGGGCAGGCTGTCTGCTGATGACCTAGGCTGAGAGTGGCCTGCAGACTTCACCAAGCACAACTGGCCGGCTTCTAGCTGCCCTGAGCCTCCCAGCCCCCAGAGTACAGTGGACAGACACGGGGGTATGCGGTCAGGAGTAGGCACTGGCTAATAGCAAGCAGGGTGTTGGGAAGCACTGTGTGCCCCCAAGAGACACTTCAGCACTAGGGCACGTCCTCCTGAGTTGGCCTCGCTTTCACGGCTCTCAGGGACTGACCGCATGGACCCACTCTCACTGCACAGCAGGGCACCAGTGCCCGAGAGAGGACGAGAGGGACCAGTGTCATCAGACAGCTGGACATGAGATGGGAGCCACACTCAGATCCGCCTCACTCACACCCAACAGGAATGTGCCCTCCCTTACGTACAGCCTCTACCTGCCCCCTAGGTACACCCCCCAGGTATATCACCAGTCAGGCACTCCAACCCCACCTCCTCTCACCACTGTCTTACTCACATCCACTCTCTCCCTGACTCGGCCTCACAGAGGGGGTGTGAGGGTGGGCACAGGGGTCTGGGAGTTTGTCTGCAGGCTGCGCCCCACACAGCCCCTCCCGAGTACCACTGAACAGTTTCTCAGAAGGTGAGCTTGGTGTTAAGACAACCTGAGGTTGCCCTTGTGCCCACTAGTGCTGACAGGTGTTGGCAGATCCGTAGGGATGCCAGGGACTAAGGTGCACCAGGGCACCCTCTCAGTGAGCAGTAC